TGTGGATCTGCCCCTTAACCTGTCTTACTCTGTTTTTCTCCCCACCCTCCTTTTAAAAAAATATTCGTTATCCTCCCATTCCCATAGCTTGTACAGTGAACCTGGGCTCCTCAAAGGTTATGTAAGATCCAAGTGGGTCTCCTAGAGTATATAAAATGAATGTTTTCTTTTGTGTGCTACAAGAAATTATTGGTCTGAAGATGATGGAGTTACAAGCATTGGAGAATTTCAGGCTGGTGCCTGCACTTCTATCCCATAAACATTTTAGCAACATAGCTGAGGTACAAGACTGTACATGTCAAATAAACAGCTGCATTTATTTCAGTGAGTACATATTCAGATACTGTATTGGCTATTTATAGATGTATATTGATTTCCCTCCCCTCAGGGTGAGGGGAGAGGGGACTAGGGAATCAGCCTTCCATATACAGTAGTTCTTATTTGAACATGTGTATGATGGGAGCCATCTTTATTCAAGTTACTACGCAGGCAATATGATTGTGAGTCTCTGGAAAGACTCCATGTTGACCTTTCCTCCATCTGCTGGCATACGCCCAGATTCCAGCAGATTATATATCCAGAGGATAAACCTTTCATCTCTGTTAAAATGTAATAACCTAACTTTAAATTGTTTTCAGGTATTTGTACTATAATGTGAGACATACAGAGGGATGCCAGGTTGTAAAAGATCAAAGGCCTTTGGTTGTAAAGTTGAAGTCCCTGACACTTGGTTTGGGCATGTTGGGAAGGGAGGAGTGAACCTGCAATTGAGAAACAGGAAAGGTTAAGAAAGGAGGAGGCTGGGAGCACAAAGGCTCAAGGGTACAGAAATGTCAACACAAATGTCTCTTTTGAGAAGAGAGTCTCTGCGATCCCTACTTGAGAAGGGCCTCTTAGGGAATTGGTTCCCCAGGATTCCTTTTACCATCCTCAGCCCTCTGCACACTTAGAGGCTGCTGCAGTTATGGTCCAAAGGAGCCTGACTGCTTTCAGTGATAGCAGATTTTGGTATCATCCACATGATGCTGGTTTTACTGGCACAAGGAATGCAGATTTCAGAGGAACGGCTGGAAGTCTAGGCAAAGGGCCCCAGGGCAGTAGTGCATAAAGCTATAGAATGAAACCAAAGGCACTGAGACCCCAAGAGTTGGAGATGCCAGGAATGTGGAATGCCTGCTGAGAAAAGCTGTAGGTGGTGGATGAAGCCAGCTCAAGAGAGAGGTTCTATGGGTTGCAACCTGCAAGGCCATAGGAGCAGGGCTGCCCAAGCCCTTTGGAACTCACATTTTACCACTATGTGTCCCGGATACCAGATTTGAAGCTACAGGACTTAATGTTTGCCCTGTTGAGTTTCAGTCTTGCTTTGGTTTAATTTAAGTTTTAGTATGGGAATGTTTATTCTGTGCCATTGTACTTTGGAATTATGTAACTTGCTTTTGACTTTTACAGAGGCTCACAGCTAAGAGTTTGCCTTGAGTCTTGGAAAAGACTTGTACTGGGGGACTTTTGTAAAATGCTGGAACTGTTGAGACTTTGGGAAAGGGATTACTGTGTTTCTGATTGTACGTGGAATAGTTATGTTAGGCAGAATTATGAACTCACTGTTGTCTTTATTTGGAGATTAGGTATGGTTTAAGGAAATATATTTGAGTTGCAATTTGAGAAGGAGTGGGATGTGGTGGTTAGGGTCATTTCAACTTGATTAGTTTTGGGATCCACCCCAGGGACTGGTGAAACACACTTTGAGGTATGTTTGGGTGGATTATGAAGGCATGGTCTTGGGATTTATGTCTAGTTCCTTACCCCTTCCATTCTGCCACTCTTCCCCTGCTCTGCTTCCTAGCCATCAAGAATTAAACAGCTTTGTACTGCCATGCCCTTCCACCATATTTCTGCCATGAACCCTCACTGATTATGGACTGACTCCTCTGAAACCGAGACAGATCAACCTGTCCTTTAAGTTGGGGGAGGGGTTGGGTATTGTGTCTCAGTGACAAGAAAGCTGACTAATACAAGTTACATAACAAATCACCCCAAATTTAGCAGTTTAAAAGAACAAACATTTACCATCTCACATAGTTTCTGAGGGTCAGGAATCCAGGAGCAGTTTAGCAAGTGGCTGTGGCTCAGAATCTATCTGAAGGTTGCCCTTAGGCTATCCCTTGGGCCTGAAGGCATCTCAAGTCCTTGATAAGATAGAAGCTCCTCCACTCACAGTGGTGCTGCAGCCTCAGTTTCTCACTGACTGTTACCCAGGGTTCTCTTCCTCACTACATGGACCCCTCCCTATGCTGCCTCAGTGTCCTCATGACATGGCAGCTGGGTTCCCCCAGAGCAAATGATTGGGAGGGGGGAGAGACACAGACAGACAGACAGGCCTAAAGACAGAAGCCACTGATATTTTTGTTGTCTCATCACAGAAGTGACATGCCCTCACTTCTGCCATATCCTCTTGGCCATTGAGACCAACCCTGTGGGTGTGACTGCATAATGGTATGACTAGCAGAAGGCAGGGATCATGGGGCAAACTCAGAAGGTGGCTAACTCAAAGAAGTATTTGTTTCCTTCTCTCGAACCAGCAAACCTAAATCATCCTAATTCTGCCTCTGTAGTATTTCTCCATTAGATAAAAGAAAGTCTTAGGAGCTTTCTAGGAAGGGGCCTTTTAGTTTACTTCTCTGTAAATATAAATATCACAAAAAGGTTTAGCTCTACAGGTATATGTAGTTTAGAAGAACCTTCTTGGAACTCTTTGTTTTTTTTGGGGGGGTGGGGTGGTAGTGGGAATTGAACTCAGGTCCTTTGCACCATGCTACAACCCAGATCCCCCTCCTTTTTAAAAAAAAATCGTTTGAGACAGGGTCTCAGTAAGTCACCTAGGCTGAACTCAACCATGCAATCCTCTTGCCTCAGCTTTCCAGAGTGCTGGGATTAATTATTTTCCTTGAGACCCTTCTTTAAGATGGACTGTTCTTTTGGGGGAGGACATCTAGTAGGTGGAATTTTCCCAGTGAAGTATACTTTGACCCCACCTGCCTGGTGATTTGAGCTGCTCCTGGGAGAAGGTGAGCACTAGCAGCCTTCCTCATTAAGTTCTTACATAGCCCAAGGCTGGAGAGTTATCTAAGGTTAAGTCATTTAACCAAGGACCCAAAGGGATCGGAGTGAGAGTTCCGAACTCACTTAAATTGATAAGTGATTCTGGGTCTTGCATGAAAATTTGTTCTTTATTCTGAGTCCTATAAACAGAATCAGACTCATTGACCAGAGAATAAAGAACATAAGAGGTCACCTACCTACACCCTCCTCCCTCATTTTACTGGTGATACAGACAGGTAAAACGATTTACCCACCCACTATCATTTAATAAGTTAGAAGTCAGCAGGGAGTAAGGTATTCTTTCTGATCTTTCCCTGAGCCATGTGGAAATTTTGGCATGTACACTTGCAGGACAGTGTGATGCAGTCCTGGGTTTGCCCTAAGATCCACTTTCTGCTCTTCTTGTGATCTCATTTGAATAACAGGGAGCTTCATTTCCCAAACTCTCTTGGCTCTGGCTTCCCACTTGGTGTAGCCAGTGGGGAGCACTGGTGAAAGATCTAAGAACAGGAGCTGATGGGAAGCAGGCATTTCTTATTCTCTCCCTCCTTCCTTCAGCAGCTTTGGTGTGAGGCTCCTCTTCGGTCTCAGCTCTCACTGAACAGTTCCCCTGTGACTCCTGGCCTGCCGCAGTGACCAGTAACACAGCTGAAGAGTCATAGCCGCTTACTGCTGTCACTAATTGCTGCGCTGCCTCACTGTCCCCCATTTGGTTTCTCAGCTCTTCTATCATTTGAATGGCCAGTTCCGTATATTAAGTTACCTTTTTAGTACTGGGAACATAGTTCAGTGGTAGAGTGTGGGTTTCATGTGTTGCCAGAAAAAAATTGTTTAGTAAGACCTCCTAGGCTTGTTTCTCTTTTCCTTACTAGACCTTGACTGATAGAGTAGAGCCATTGTTCTGTTCTTGCACATTGTAGGAACAGATAAATGTTCAGTCAAAATGATGATAATAGAAAAGGAAAACCAGCTTATCCAAAAGAAATAGTACTTTATTAATTTATGCTGTAAGTTGAGCTGATTAAAACAACTTCATATTTGTCATAACTTCTGAAAAACAAAAAATGGAAACATTTTCCTAAGATGTTTTCCCAAGAAGTCAGTCTTTTGCTTTCTGCTCTGTGGTGTCAAAAGAATGGATTCCTTTGATTTTGTAGATCTTTTCCATCTCTGTCAACCATGACTTAATTGTGGAAGGGATCTTTCTTGGTTTGGGTGAGTTTATGTATTTTAGTTGTAGCAGAACGAGTCCTAACGTCATGCCATTGGTTTCGTACACTTGCTTAAGTAAGGTCTGTGTACACTTGGCCTTCCCGTCACAAGCCTCGTTGTTGTGACCTCCAGTCCTGTTTATATGCCAACCCCTGTTCTTGGCATCCACACAAGGATTCCCACAAGGGTTCCATTTGAGAAGGTGGTTTCTAAGATTGGGGGTAACTGCCTGCCAGCACTGGATTTGAGACCACCAGCTTGTTTTTCCAAGCATTAATATTTCAGTGATCTCCAAACATATTTTATTTTCCAGAATACTTTCCAAAAAGCTTGTAAGAATGTCTCTATAACTTTTTTTGAAGACATAAGGGTCTAAAGAGAGGGGGCATGGGTAATATAAATTATAACTTGGCAGTCTTATATTTAAAATGTTATGCAAAAATATTTTTTTCTTAAAAATCTTCTTTACATATTTAAAGTAATTCATTTGGGAGAAATAACCAGTCAGCTATTCACATAGCCAGCCCTTTGGCAGTTTCAGTTCAATATGCTTTGAAACCAGTCAACTACAAAGCTTCAAATATTTTCTCTTTGAAAGCTCAACTTAACCTTCACTTCCATGGTGGTGAGAAAAGTGACAACTCATTTTAAAGATTCTCCTCCTTTGTGTCTTTGTCTTTCTTTTGCAGGCCATGTGTTTATACTATGGGATCTCCCATAAACAACAGGGCCCTTTTTCCATGCCAGGAGCCACCCGTTGCCATGTCAACATGGCAGGCTACAGTTCGAGCAGCTGCATCTTTTGTTGTTTTAATGAGTGGAGAAAATTCTGCCAAGCCAACACAGCTTCATGAAGGTACTGTACATGTGTTCTTTGCTTATTTATGTTTCACACACATGCTGGACCCAGGAACCCAATAAGTACTATTTTTCTAAACTTTAAAGAGCTGCTTCATTAGTTGGGTTGGAAATGAACATACTATAAAACATGTTGCCAGAGAAAACAAGCAGGGGATGGAGATGGGAACTGGGGAGTCTGGGTGTGGAATCTGGGGCTCTTTACCACAGTTATCAATTCATAGTTTATTTCAGCAGTTACTTTCACCTGGTGGCTTGTGGGCCATAAGTGGGTGGTCTTGGTTGAAGACTTTCTAAGCAGGCAAGTGTGTCATGGAAACCCATTACAAATGGCTGAGTTATCTGTGGTTTGGACATGGTATCTGTACATGGTTATTCATTATGTTGAGAGACAGAGCTCTTGTTGGCCAGCCCACAGCATTGTCCTGGCAAAGGATCTATTCTATATACTATTCGCCTGCATGAAGCTCTGAACCAAAGGTCTACTGGAAGGATGGATGGCAAGTGCTAATACATTGTTCAGATTTTGTGAATTACTTGGTTACTCAGTAATTAACTCTTTCAGTTGAGATCCTGAGTCTGTTGATGCCAGGTAAAATTTTTGTAGCTGCAATATTTGTTTATTTAAAATATGGTGTCTCCACACACATATTTATTTTAGAAACTTGAAAATATTCAGAAAAAAAATAATAAGGTCAAATAACTTGAAAAATGATTGTTTACATTTTGTTTCATTTTCCTCTACTACCATCTGGATGTATAGTTGAAATTATTCAAGATTGTCATCATAGCATATAATAGTGCTTATTCTGATTTTTTCACTCATACTATATGTTGAACATTACCTAGGTTATTTTTTAAGTATAATTTTAACGTTGGTAAAATATTTTGTTTGTGAATATATCAGAATTTAACACTCACATAATATATTAGATACTTTGATTGTTTCCAGGTTTTATTCCTATTATAAATAAAGTTACATTAAGTTTCTAAGTGGAACTTTTAAAATCAGAGTTACAGAGTCTAAATTTGGAGTATATGGCTGTTGGTACATACCTCTTATTGTTTTCCAAAAGATTGTGCCAACTTATATAACCCGACAATGATTATAAGGGTCTCCTTTCTTGAAACTTTGCTCAGCAGATAGGCAAGAGAGAGTCCCTTTTTAGTTTGGGTTACTTTGGTTATCAATAAGTTTCATTTGTTCTTATATGTTTCTTAACCATTTTCACTCCCTATGTGTTCGTATGTTTTGTCCATTATTATACTGAGGATTTAGTGAGGGTTTCAAACAGTTTGTCTTTTTTTAATTTGATTGGCTCTTTAAAAGAAGATATTAATCTCTTATTGCATTTGTACAAATGTGCCAGTTAGTGTGCCTTTTAATTTTTTTTTCCCCATTCTTAGCCCTCCCTTCACCCCCTCCACCTTTCCCTATTTACAAAGACTTTATTTCCATTTTTTCCATTTCTCATCATTTTTCCTTTCCCTTCTTTCCTTTCCCCTGCCCCTCCCACTAGCCTACCCCTTTGGACCTTTTCTTCCTATTTTACATT